GCTGTCGGTCACCTTGGAGCAGGACTTCTGGGGCTCGCCGTGTGTCACCTGCACAAACGGGCACAGTCTGTGTGAGTCAGACAACGGGGCGCAGACCACCCCACTGGCGAGCCAGACCAGGGCAGGAGGAGAAGAGAAGTCAGGTGGCGGAGGTTGGCTTTCCGCCCTGGCACGGACCCTCTACGGCAGAGGCAGTGCCTCGGACACGAGCAGACGGGTAGGTAGAGCCGGGAGGTGACCCCCTCCACCCACCATCCACCCCGTGGCGCAAATGAGGGGACGGAGGCCCCCGAGCCTCTGGTAACAGGACATGGTTTTTTCCTCCTCTGCCACCTCTGGCCTTCCTTGCGACATGGCAAGGCCAAGCCCTGGCCTTTCCTTTGGTCAGCCTTGCTGTATCCACCCTGGGCCAAGCACCCCATCTTGAGGAAAGCACCGCATCAAACCCTCCAGGCCTGCCCACAGCTTGGGGTATCCCATGGCCACACCAGCAACGTGAGGCCCCGACCCTCACTAGTGTCCCCTGCCCACCACCACCTCCTGCATATGCTCTGCCCTCCAGACCCTCCTTCCAGCCCCATACCCGGCCAGGCCTCTCCAAGGGCCTGCTCCTCCCGGAGCACGCTGGCCACTGGCCCCAAAGGCCCTCTAAGAGCTTCCCCTTGCTTTTCCCTGACAAACCTAGAATGGCAGCATCTCGGGACTGAACTGCGCGTGTGGGTCACTACCTGGCCCAACCCTCCCCACCACTGGCTCACAAGGTCTCCGGGGGCACCGAAGAAATGCCTGGCATTCAGTAGATATTTGGCGAATAAATGAATGAATGTTAAAGCCTGGACCGGCATACAGGCCTCTCGGTGCTGGGTTAGTGTTGTCTCTGCTTCCTCCCTGTGAATGGTAGTGGGCAGCAAGGTCCCGACCCTGCGGCACAGCAGTCCCCATGAGTTTTAGAAATATGCATAGGGCCCTCCCTGGTGGCACAAGGGTTTAGTTAAAGCGCGGCACTACAGAGTTTGCAGCAGACGCTTCTGTATGAGTTCGATCCCCGGCCAGGGAGCTGACCCACGTGGAGCGGCAGACCCTTCCTGACCTGCCTGCTGCTCCCCTCGGCAGTTACTTCAGTATATTTGCCTGTTCTGCTCCCCACTCTGCCTCTGGTAAATCCTCTCTCCGCCCCCGCACCTCTGGCCTGTACCCCAGTTCCGTATGCATAAATAAATAAATCTTTAAAACAAGAAAGGAAGAAAGAAATACGTATGCCTGAGCCTCACTCTTGCAGCGGAATCAGAAATCCTGCAAGTGGAGCAGGCCTTGGGTATTCTGCTTCCGCTTCCTGGGCAAAACTTCGGTGTCTAACAGGTGAGGACCACGGTTGTGGAGGCTGCGGCATCCTGTCCTACAGAGCGCCACAGTCTACAGACCTGGCACTTTGTCTCTTTGTCCCAGCGAGGCTCAGTGAAGGTGTGAAGGGAAGAGCTAGCGACCTCAGTTCATTTCTCTGCTGTCACCTCAAGAGTAGCAGTCCAAAACCCCAATTTCCCTGCCCCCTGCCATAGGGGCTAAGTCAGGCTCACGTGCTGCAGATGTGCTGGGCCGGCAGAGAGCCCCCAGCCAGGGGCTCCCTTTCCACATGTGAACAGGCCTGGTGATGGGTCCCCCCACCCCCATGGCAGCAGGAGGGAGACTGATTACAGCTCTGCCTCAAGAAGCTCCTGCACACACACTTTGTGTGTGTGTTTAAAGAAGCATTGACTGCATCTCAAACCCTGCAAGGCTTTCTGATCTCCCAGTGGGAAGGAAACATCCTCAGACTTTGAGCCTTTTCTCAATTATCTCAAGGAGATGATTAACTCCTTGCACGTCCTTGTCAAGTCGACTGGCTTCTCCATCAGCACCACTGTCTGCCTGTCCAAACTCAAGCTGGTTCTCTGGATTCTGACCCCCTAATTCTAGGGGTGGAGGGGGGCTCCATAGCTCCATTCTCCTGAGAGCTGGCCCCTGAGATTGCGCTCCACAGAACTCACCAAGTATGCGAACTTCCAACAATGCCATTGCCAAAGCAATCACTTTCACACTCTCCAAGGTGCAATTTAGGCGAGTTCAAGAGGAGCACGTTTGTTCAACCTGGCCCAACACAACGACCTATTTCTGTGAGAGGTAGCAGGGCACAGGCGTAAGAGTGTTTAATGTGAGGAAACTATGGGGGGATATCAGGGCCAAGTTTCAAGGCTGAAGCGGGAGGAAGCGAAGGGACCTCTGCCTTTTTTTTTTTTTTTTAAGATTTATTTATTTGTGCATACAGAACTGGGGTACAGGCCAGAGATGCAGGGGCAGTGAGAGTGGGGAGCAGAACAGGCTGACTGACAAAGTCCACTGCTGAGGGGAGCAGCAGGCGGGTCAGGAGAGGTCTGCGGTGCCATGTGGGCCACCTTTGGGGCGGGAATCGAACTCGTGCTGCAGAGGCTTTAGCTTCTGAGTGCTGCGCTTTAACCCGCTGCGCCACCAGGGAGGGCCCAGGGACCTATTGCCTTTTAAGCATTGGTGGCCTCTTGGGAAATGGCCTTGCTGAAATGGGGTGGGCACAAGTCTGGCCCATGGCTATGGCAGAAGCGCCCCATCTGTGCTGTTGCCAGCCCGGGTTCACCCTTCCCACCCAGCGCTCACCATGCCCCTTAGCCAGCCATCCTCCCCCGACCCCAAACATGATCCCCCTGCCCAGAGCTGCTTCTTCCCCTTGTCAACTTTCTGGCACTCTCCCTGCTGTGTGGGAAGGTCTGTCCTTACGCATTAAGTCTTGGGGCAGACAGTTTTATTCATCTATGCTTTATTAATTCTGACCAAGTGTGACTTCCTGAGGTCTGCTGTGTGTCACCAGGGAAACGTGGTCTCGGTCACTACAAGAACCGAGACATGGGTTTTATTCACATTCACGCTGAGCTGGTGACAAACGGCACCATGGAGCTAAGTCCAGTCACAAAGTTGCTCAGGGACAGACCGAATGAACAGGTGTGTGGACGGTGCTCTGTGCCCACCGCCCGCTCTCGCTCCACTCTGGTTGCGAGGCCTGGCAGCGGTGTGGACAGCAGAGAGGAAGCCTCAGTCCCAGGAGCTTACCTCAGTAGCTGGCCCATTTGGGTGATACCCCAGGCTTCCGAAAAGGAGAAGAAACCCGAGTCCGAGGTTACCTGTCCTTAGCTGGGCTATACCGACAAGGAGCAGCGCATCCGAGAGGTTAATGACGTCTTAAAGGCCCACAGGGCAAAAGATCATTTTTTATGCTGTGTTTGTCCTCGCCCAGCTCCCTGCCCCTGCTCTGCTGCTTTCTCCTGCACCAGGGAGAGAGGGTTCGGGCACAGGGATTTGCTAGCTGTCACTGTGAGAGGGGACATGAAGCTCCTTGGCTATCTCCCTGCCCGAAATCAGGGGAGCTTTCTGGTCCAGTGGAATCCGCCCTCTTCTCCCCGTTCCCAGTGCCATTGCCATGAACAAACCTCCACCGGACCGCACTTGCCCCGTATGGCATGGCCGAGTCAAATACTTAACATCACAGTTGTGGGTAAGCACAGCCCCGCTGTGGCGTGGGGTACACTTATGCTAAAGAATAACCACTTTTTATTGGAAATCCAGTTTTATTCAATCTGACCGTCTTATCCTCATTTTACCTCCTGCTTTGCCCCCCATCTGCTGTGCTGGAGTTGGATTGAGACTTTGAAAATGCCAATCTGAGACTGAGTCACCTCTGGCTTTAAATTCAATGGCGCCCATTAGTCATCTGCGTTCGATGCAAACGGCAAGACATTCTGGTAGCAGCTTGCAACAGTGGCCTTAGCTGGGGCTGCCCTCCCCGGGTTCTCCCCACACCCCACTTTCTCTTCCTGCCAGGGTGTGCCCCCCCCCCAGACAGATGATTTCTCCTGGGAATGGCTCAGTTGAGGCTTCACATGCTCTAGCCTGCAGCAGGTCCCATCTCTGAGCCAGGCACTCTGGCTGCCCGCTCTTGCTGTCCTCAGTCATCTACTTGCCTCGCCAGTGCCACACTGTCAATGCCATCAGGGCATCGGTCCCTTACACTGAGCACAGGGCCTGGCAAACACTAGGTGACTGATCACGTTGCTGAACAAACGAGGAGGGGATCAGCCTCGCTTGGGCCTGGCGTGGCTCCTCGCCAGCATGCAGGCCCACAGGCCGGGACCAGAGCCGTCTCCCTGGCTGTTGTTTTAGGAGGATGGCCACAAAGACGATGGTTTCTGGCATCTTCTGTAGAGACAGGCCAGCACCACAGTAACTTGATGAGACACACTCCTGTCATACCTAATAAATTTGACAGCCTGTCATCCTCCACGCTCGGGGGAAAAAAAAAGAATTATCTGGAAGTGAACTTAGAAGAACCCTAGATCACAAGAGCTCAAAGTCTCAACTCCAGACACATTAAAGAAACCAGAAGAGAGGCTAAGGAATGTCCCCACCATCCTCCTGGCAATATAAATGTCATCTGACTTTAAAGACAAAGCTCTTCTCATCTAGACTGCAGCCAGAGGCTTTGGGCTCACTTCAAGGCAGGAACCTGATATGGGGGAGTCAGGGTGGGGCAGGTCTCTTGATTCACCGGTTAGCTTATTAATGATAAGATTTGGGTGTCAGTCTCACCCTTAGAGATGTCAGTCTGGGGATTCTTCTGGCAACGCTCGGAAGCGCAGACAGCCCCGTGTTCTTGCTCTGTATTCCAGAAACTCCTGTGACATGACAGATCTTACTCTCTCCACTGAAGGGAAACACATGGCCTCATGCTCTTCCCTCTGCCCTGCTCTCCTCGGTCCCTCGATCCAGCTCTTTGGCTTAAACTCCAGACCCATCCATCCCACAGTCCCTCGCCCCTGGCCTCTCTGTCTCTGTCACTGGTACATTCATTTTTCCAGAGCCTTGAGCCAAGATTTTTAACCCTTCTGCTTGTCTGGAGGACTCCTTTCCTAATTGATTTTCACAAAAATTGATTTGTATTGAGCACCGGCAAGTGAAATGCAACACACACACACACACACACACACACACACACACACACACACGTCCTCCCTCTCTGTGAGACCTGCCTGCGTGAAGGTCACTGTCAACAAACTGAGCTGATCTCACAGAATCATTTCTTTCGGTGATGATGGGGTGTGGGTGAGATGGGGAACAGGTCTGCTCTTCCCACCCCTACTTCAGGCAGCAGAATCCAGTCTGGGCGGCCTTTTCCTATTGCTGAAAAAGTCTTATGGACAAGAGAAAACCACCATGAACAGGACATGAACTGAGCTTAACATCTGAGGTACAACTCAAAGTTGAACACGGGAAGCTGGTCCCAAAGCACCCAAGAGTTTAAAAGCGACAAAAGCCCAACTCCGGAGGAAGCACAGCTGAGTTTAATAACTGCTGCTTCACACATTAAACAAAGCTGTCAATGCCGAAAGGAAAACAACTGTGAGTGAGACAGAGGCAAGCCAGAGCCACCCACTGTCCCCCCCACGCTCCTGCAGGCCCTGGTGGGGTTCGTTACCAGGCGCCCTCCACGTGGGGCTGAGGAGCTAACCCCACAAGCCCCCTCACCTGGGACAGCTTGCAGACCCCCGCAGGGGTCAAGCAAAGCAGCCCCCCTCTGCCCCTCCCTCAGCCGCCACCACCCACTCAGGGAAGTCATCTGAATAGTCCCTGATCCCCAAAGAGCCCCGAGGAGAACAGTAGCTGCAAAGCCAGAATTTCAGTCCCGAAGCACTTGCTAAACTTCTGGCAATTCAAAAATGTCAAACAGACGTGCTAGTGATGAAGAGTCCCTGACCAGCCAGACCGGAGAGCGGCTGGCCATGACTAACATCAGTGATCAGTGGGGGCAGCAAACCCACCAGCCGGATGTGGTGTGGGTCAGGCACTGCCCTAAAGTAAAGAAATAAAACCTTCCCTTTATTCCCAAAGGGCTTTATTTCACCAGGTGCACAAGGCCCAGAGGGGTTAAGTGCATTACCCCAAGCCTCAAAATTCAGAGCTGACCCCAGTGACCGCCTCTCCATTGCCTCTCTGGACATTAACCACAGACGTTCTGGAAGGTAAGGGCCATCCCATTTAACCTCTGACCCTAGTAGAAGTAACTCCAGCTGACCCTCCCTGAGTCCAGACCACCCAGGGTAGGGAGGATTTCATCTCAGACAATCGTGAGTCTCCCCCTTCTTACACCCCACCAGGCGGGTCCCCAGCCAGACTCCGCTGCCTCAAGCCACACCGCCTCCAGTGCTGAAGTTCAGTTGACCGCCCAGTTGAAGCTTACTAGAGATTCTGGTGGGAAATTGACATCCTTGAGATCATTTTTTCTAAGTTTGTAAGAAATATAAGGGCCGCCCCCCCCCATGTTTCTGCAGTATAACGTGATCATTAGAAGACGTTTTCTGAACCCCTTTTTGTTCCAAGGCTCTGTGCAGCAAGCCTCAGCAGACCATGTCTGCAGCCTCTCTGGAGTTTCTTATTTTTTCAGGGCCAGGAGAGGGGGAGGGGCATGGAGGGAGGGAACTTGGATCTTTTTGCTTAAACTCTCGCAGGACCAATCAGGAAGCCAGCGTCCTGGGAGCGAAGTGGCACCCCAGACCCGCTTGGGACGAGGACTCCCAGCCCGCGCGGCCCCGCGCCACGGCTCACCTGCACGAAGCCCCACAGCGGGTGGAGCGCGCAGTGCAGCAGCAGCGAGCAGCCGCCGCGGAGCACCAGGTCCGGGAGGAGCATTTCGGCCCTCGGCGCCCGCACTCGGGAACTGTCAGGGGAGCAAAACTCGGGTCAGGCGGCCGCTGCGCCGGCACCATCGCGGGCGCGCACACGCACCCGTAGCAGTGGGATTGGGGTGGGAACCCCCCCCCTCCCGCACCCCGGAGCGCCCTCACAAAGCAAGCCCCTTCCCTCCAGCTGCACACGTGCTGACCCTTCGTGCATCCTCAGAGAAGCCTGCGTCCCAGAACACACACCCTACCCGGGCGCGTGGCCCCTGAGCCCTGCGTGTACGCCTTGGCTCCACGCACACCCCCATACTCCTTTCTACGTGCACACCTGGCCCCACGGACGCTGGACACCTCCATAGTCCAGCACACTGACCGAGCCTCGTTGCGCTTCTCCAGAAACAGTCATTCACAACTCACTCCCACTGTGAACACTCTTCATCGCGGGCGGGCACCGCTCACTCTGCGTGCACAGCCACAGTATCCGCCGCGCACAGCCACCGACTCGTGTCTGCACACTCGCTGACCCTGCAGGCACAGGCACCACGAAACCACACGCCGCGTGCACCTCGCAGACCCGCCGGTCCTCACTGCGCACATTGCAACACAGGCACCTCGGTGAGCACCCCCACTTGCTCTGCCCTCGCGCGCTCTCCCCAGCCGGGGCTTCTCGCCCAGGGCGTGAGCTTCCCCCAGCTCTCCATCTCCGCCCGCAGCCCTCAAGTGCCCCACGCCACCTTGTCCCGCGGCGACCCCAGCCGAGGCTCGGCGCGGGGAAAGGCGGTGCGCTGTCCCCCAGCTGCAGAATCTATTCCCAAGCCTCCGGACGGCCCCCATTTAAAGCCGGCCGCCTCCCCAGTCCCCCCCCCGCCTTCTAGGCGGGGCCTCGGTCCTCACCCTGGCGACTGCGCGGGCGCCTGGGGGCTTCACATGCCGAGGAGGAGCGCGGGGCACTGGAGCAAAAGTTTGCGCGCGGCTTGGGCCTCCCAGGCGGCGAAGCCGGGACCCCGGCGCGCGGCTCTAGCGTGGGGCGCAGGGCTCGGAGGCTCCGGGCTGCG